ATACATGTACACGTGGACGTATTATATACAAGGAAAATAATTTTCGGCCATAATTGCCGGTCGTGCGGTAACGGTTGATGTTAGCTCGTACCGTGCGTTCATACTGTGCGACGACCTGAATCCAACGACTTTAGTCATGGGCAATGATATCCGTTTCGATGTCTCCCTCGATATACAGGAACTACTCTTGGGGTCGTACTTTTATCTATTTATTTATCGCTTAATTATTTTTTTTTTATCCAAGCGTTACCGATATTACTTCTCCGGGTGGAGGGCGATCTCCGGCGCGATTTCCAGGCCGAGGGCGAGTTGGAATAAAAAGTCAGTTAATTTCTTCTTTATCTAAAAATTTCCTCTTTATCTCGTCCGTGGTAGCCGCCGAAGGATCTCGAGTCGAGTAAAGGGCTCGTGCCGCGATCTGGATCCGCGCATTTGGCTGATATGGGATACGCGAGCCCGAGGAACCAGAACGGCTTGGCAGTAAAGCCTTTTTGAGCCGAGCTTGCGAGCACAGATTAATCCTTTTTACTGAGCGATCCAACCGGATCCGAGGGAATCTCGGTTGCGAGGAAACCCGGAGGGACTCGCTCCGGAATTCCTCACGTTCACCAGGATCTTTCCACCCAGCCGTACCTTTGCTGTCCGGAGAGGACGGATTTATTCTTCCTAAGTCTGGAATACCAGGACGACGACGGACGGAGTTGAGTTTCTCGCTTCTCTGGCCGTTTCTCCTCTCTTTCGCCGACCAATTTTTCGGAACATTCGGAGAGCACCGAGCCAAAGTCGTTGACACAGTTGCAACGTGCGGATAAGGGACGGTGGCTGAAATAGCTTTTCGTCGAATGAGGCATAGATGCGCTCGCTGAGTACTCGCATTTATTTCTCATTTTCATAAAACGCGGAAATCTGGAGTACGAGAAGAAATCACGGAAGAAGCAGACTTCCGTCGGGCTGCGGTGATAACGCCGAAGAGCACTATCGTAGAAGAATAATAGGGCTCTGTTATATATCATGCGCAATGTGCACTGCGATGTTGCGCACTTTAACTCGGAATTTCATTCGCGTGGGATAAAAAATTGCTTTCATTACTGCTCCGACTAGAGGATCGTAAACGGTCTGGAGATTGTAAACGTTACCTCGGTGGTCGTTAGAAACGTCACTCGAATTTGATCCACTTCCTCCCGGAAAGGAGGTCGCTTAATTTTCCGCAAACAATGAGGTGTCCGCATGACCCATGAGGTTAACCATCGCGTGAACTGCGAAACGTCCTTATGTGACGAGCTTACTTATGTAAATTTACATTCATTCGGTTCAGGGCAGAATTCCTAAAATTCTCGACGACACCCTTTTCTGTCGGAGGACGTAAGAAATTTTAATCGGCGTGATAATAAAAATTATTTCAACGCAGGATAAATGACAGATTTTTTTTTTTTTGCAAATTCGAAATCCTCCAAGTGGAACGGTCATTATTCTTAACAATAAAGGAAACTAACCAGCCGCTATCGTTTATGGTAAGTACACGCAAGAAACGGGGCAGTGGAAAAACGACATGCGTAGATGTACCGATACCGAGGAATCTTACCGGTATCGATAAGTCTCAGTTCATGGGTACTTTGTTCCAAGATACCGCACCTTCTATCAATGCAAATTTATGCGCCTCGCAATGATGTCCCTATTCTATTTAAATTATCATCGAATTGCAGCAACCTTGCACGGCAAAGCACAGTGCATTACCTTTGACGGCCAGGCGCACGGTGCACGCCCGTGCAGCATCCGTTATTTTCCCCTTACCAACGACATTTGCACTAGACATAAATAAAATCACGCAACCCCCGACTTCTCCACATTTCGTCGCAACATCTCATAGCTCTTTATTCCCCACCGACGCTCTTCTCCATTGAAATTTATGCCATCCATGGAAATTCGGACTTAGCCCGCACTCGCAGGTTTCGGCTAATTTCCTCAAATCTGTATTAATTTGGAGTAATCGAGCGAAACTGGGTCGGTTGGATCTAAACAGCCCCAAATGACGAGACGACCATCACGTTTCCAAGGACGCTCTAAGCGTATCCAAGGGATTGTCGTCATCGCTGAGAAATATACTAACCAAACGCTGCGAGATGAATCACGCTATTAAGTGACCTTTCTTCAGTGACAATGCACTCTATTTCCAACGACCGTGCCATTTATTGTCCGGCAAGATGCGTTAATCTCGCGCTAATTTGAATAATGGCGGGACATTCGACGGGAGCTCGTGGGTCGCTTTTCTTTCTCTACACTCGGGATCAAAATGGACATTTTAGATCGCGCCGCGCCCAAGCGGCGACACTCCTTGTTTTGATTGGATTAACTCCGAATCGGTGTCAACTTATGTCACTGCACCGTCGGCGTTAATTGTATGAATATCGCATGAGTGGCTCCGTACGCGCCAGAGGCGAACGAGAAGGGCACCGATCGATCGATCGACCGTGACTGACAACTGGGAGGTTTCGCGATTTGTCAACCGAGGGATCGAGAATCCTCCCCTGGGGTGCAAACCGACCTTTAATGTGATGAGCGGAACGATGCAGGTTCTCCCCGATGCATCGTATGCAACGATGCACGATACATAGGGATACATGGCGATATATGGCGATACATATCGATGCCGAGTGATATACAGGCCGAGTCGCGCTACATTTGTCGGGGCGATATTTGTTAAATCGTCGACGTTAACTTCTCGGAGAAATTGTGATAACGGATATAAGAGGGTCTTCGTAATGAGGATTTCAGAGTGGATCCTTTAATATCGCGATACCGTCGCCTTTAATGACTGCTATCGATAATATCGACATTATTTCTTATGAAAATATTTCCCCCTTCCTAATGACCGATAAACGTAACATCGGTTTTACATTTCGCATAGTTTGATGGACGTCGCGGTAATCTGGCTCTTTGAACGAACTCGACTTTTCACTTTGACAAAAGAGTCGAGGAGGACAAGACTCGGTACTTCGGGTGGAGATATCTCCCCGCAAGTGTGGTGGTCATTCATACACGGATTGGCGTGATTTTTTTTTCTCAGGGTTTTAAAGAGATTAATTTACGTTTGAAAGAAATTCCCGCAAAAAGGGCTCGACATGAAAAGTCTATTTTGTTCGCAGAGTGGATACCTCGAAACGACTGATAAACTAATCTGGAATATTTTGTATGGAGGCCAGTCGTAAAAGGGTTTTTCGAGCCGAGCGTTAAGTGTTTCTCCTTGTCGCCAGATTTTCGGAGTAATTACTTGTCGAATATTCCGATGCCTTGTCTGAGAAAAATTGCGAAACCTCGGGGAACGCAATTGTTGTCGGTGCGAAGCTTGTTCTATGGGAAAATTTCTTACTGAAACTAAGTCATCCTGGTCCTGTATCGTGACGTGTTTGTACGCCGATAAGACGGCAACTTACTTGCGGGCATGATGACTTTGTACACGAAAAAAAATAAAACGCGAGTTCTCGAGCAATGACAGCGCGAGTGCGCTCTAGTACTAATTTGATCAGTGCGCTCGAGTTAACTTACAACGTCTTACGTGTTTCACAGTGTGCTGAAATAGCTTGAGTAGCTTAACGTAATATCTAGTAAAGAAATGAGTAACTGGCGCTCGGCATTATCTCAACGAGTGCGCCAAAGCAAACACCCGGGATCGGCCATGTTTCATAGATCACGGTAGAACAATTTATCGAGGAGCTTACTTTGACACCGACGTAACATAATTACCCCCTTCTGCACATATCGACGTGATTGATGATGCTTTGACATCGTTGATGGCCGATAATTTGTATGCATTATGTACGTAACTCCGTTATCCCGAAATTGGAGCAAGAATTTATCACCAGCTGAAGGAGTGCGTAATCTAATGCCGCATAAATTCATGAGCCGCTCGCCGCAAATCTTAGTTAAACGTGTCTATTTTATGTCGAGATTTTCCCCGATTAGCAGCCACGTGACTTCGGACGTCGACGTGATTTATTGCACTACACGCGACTACTGAATTTACCGAGACGTCGTATAACAAAACACTAAAAAATTTTGCAGAATGTCACTTTTTATTGCTTAAGAAAAATTCCACCTTCATACTCCACTTGCGGTAAAATTGACGGTCGAACTTCTCGATGCTTTGAGGAGGCGATAAACCAAATACGAAACATAACGAGGCCGGATGTAAATTTAATATCGATAATCCGGACTACCGGTTGATGTTTATCTCGAAAGGACTCGATTGTAATCCGCTTACCAAATTTGGTCCCGTGCTCTCGGCTTAACGCCACCATATTACATCATGACACTGACTTCTTTATCCGTTACTTGAACGTCATACTTAATCGGGAAAAAAAATGTGCACGCTCCGGAGTTCCCTTGAATACCATTTTACACCATTGGATTTGGATATTTTTTATTCATCCCAATCGTATCCAACGATCCCGCCGTCGAGAAGTCGCCCTCAAAATATCTGCGGTCACGTTGGCTGTTAAAACAAACTCAATATCAATTGTCGGCTGTTTCTTAAGAAAACGTTATTGACCGGCACCGCGATCGACCGTGTGTGCTCTATTGATTTCACGGTATTAATAAAACGCCGAAGTCGGGCAGACGTCAAACGGACGATCATGCTAGGGTTGTGAATTATACATAGATCCAAGGCTCGCGTATCAACCGCGCCCATTTAAACCGAGGTCAGGGTATGAGTACATTATTTTCCATCTAAACTACGGGCCCATGCAAGTGAGGAGTGAATCGATGTTCGCCTCCTCGAGATCCAATCCGAGCCTGGTCCTTATCTCGAATGAATCGTCCCTCACATTATTTTTTTTTTTTTTCTTCCAAAGGTGTCGATAATACCACTCCATCGACTGTATTACATTTTTATTTAATCGTCTCCATTTGTTGTCAGCACCTGGTAGGGATAAATATCGCCCCATCGATTGTATTACATTTTTATTTAATCGTTAATCGAACCTCTCTCCATTTGTTGTCAGCACCTGGTAGCGACAAACGGAGGACGACTGATAGACGGTATTTTCACGGAGCCGACTCTTCAGCCAGGATACAATTTGGTCACGACCGTGCCCAAAGGAGCTTCGGCCTTAAACGTGACGGAGCTACGGCACACGCAGAATTACCTGGGTACGGTGAACCCCGTTTCGCTCGACGCACTTTGCTTCTCAGGGCCTTATCGGAGTCGTGAAAACGATGCAGCACGTGAGATTAGTATTAACCGCTAGTATATAGATAAGCCGAGTAAGACATTTATCGAAAAGCAAACTTTCCTTTCCCTCCGACCGGAGAGTGGAGTCGCAAAGGGAACCTGTCGCGCGACATCGGCCCACGACGAAGCGTGCATAAATTTACCGAAAAGAATTTCTTAAACGTTAACGATTTGAGAGCGATTCGTCGCCTTGACTGTATAATTACCTGGGTAACTTGGGTTATTTCCTCTTTATTTTTTTTTCTAATTCTTTTTTCTTTTCCCATCGATCGACGGCTTCGGAAAGTGCCGACTCGTTAGCATAGTTGTAGGTTTCGCAATTATCGACCACTCTTCTAAGATTTGCTCTGGGATGCTGGGGGACATTCGGAGTGACGTCACTCGGATTTCACACCTCTCGCTGATCGCATCCTCCGGGATGCTCTCCGCGTGGAGAGCGTAAACAGGGTGTAAAACCGTCTTGTCCATTATCGTTCCGTTGATAACGCGTATCTATAAAGTGCCGAGGTAAAACCCCGCTGTCCATTACCATTTTTCCCAGCGACAATCGCGGGTAATGTCTAGGTGCGAAGGAGTCTCGAGAAGTTCGTTTCGACGATTGCCAGCGGGTAGTCGTAATTGCGCCAGCTTTTACATTCCCGACGTCCGAGTAATTAGCATTAAATTAATTCCAAGGGTATCCGAATAATTCCAATAATTTTCCGGGTAATTAAACGGGTGTTCATATCCTTCGACCTTTCTTACCGGCAGGATTTAAGTGACTTCTCGAGTCGCGCCGAGAAAATGAACGGCGAGATCTCTACGAGGAAAAATTGTGGGATTTCTCGTTTCAGTAAATAAAAATAGTGTAATAAAAATTGACACGTTATTTCCGGTACTCATGCCTTTTAAGGTGTGAGAATTAAATCGAATTACCGATCGCGATTCCTTGTAGGAAACTCGAGCCGATCCATTCCGCTGAATTTGCACCACTCTGGTATTAACCCTAATTACCTACGTTTGTCGCCGCATGGTGTACTTATTACGTCGCGTTTCGTCTCACTTGGGAGAAAAGATCACAGCTTTAGCTCTCCTCGCGGGTGTTTCTGCAACATGCATAATACATAGCACTAAAGCGGGATCGGTGATTAAGCTCTATAAGCACTGGTAGCAGCACTTCTGATGTAACGTATTAACATGTAAATGCAGTTCCTACCAGTCATTAACAAACGTTTCATTGGCGTCTATAAGACTGCACTGTAAAAATTCACGCTTTGATTTCGACACGAGACGCGGTGAAAGTTATGAAATTACGACTTACAGTCAAACCTAGTGACTACCATTTGCGACTAATTGCACCGCGCGCAATGTGCGCCGGAAAAGTCCGGCGCCATGGAAAATAAGATGCAAGACGGAGATTATTAATTAATAATCTCCGTAAAAAATTCTGCTCGTGCAAATTTTTTTAGGCAATACTTGTATCTAAATAATTCCTTCCTCTTCCCACGAGCTCCATAAAAATCGCGATCATAGTCACGTTCCCCGTAATGATCTCGATAATAATTACGCATAAAGTCACGTTGTTGGTTATCATTGGGCCACTGAATGACACATAAAAGTAACGGTAGGGAGTTACGTACATCCATTATCACCACTCGAATGGTCTCATCGAAGCCGCAAGCTTTTCAAAGGATCTCCCTCCGCGACTCGCTTTAACCCGACGAGTGCTAAACATTGCCTCTTATCCAACACGAGTACAGTTCCCGACATTTACAATGCAATTATTGGCGCTACAATGTCGCGGCTTATCGTCGCAAAGTGTGCCTTCGGCAGATCGCTCGGTGCACTCGCAGTTTCAATGACGTTATTATAAGGCCAGCGGCTGACATCTTACATACAATTAGGTAATACCGAAGCGGACTACAAGGGTACCGTAATTTACCTCGAGTTGCGAACAAATCAAGCAGATTGCGAATACAAGGGCGAGGATCGCTCGACGCGGGTGACAATTCATTTTGATAAGATGAACAATTAAACCGTGAATTATCCTTGCGGTCGAAGTACGTGAAACTACCGCGCTCGAAAAAATGGAAATATTTTCTCCCGCAGAAAAGCATCGGAACGGAAGGCGCAATTAGTGCGCTTTTCGCGCATAATTAAACGACGCTAATAATTACGGGTCATTACACTTGGGATCGATACCGCCTAGTAAGTAAGTCACCGATGATTGGCGATGCATGTTACTAGTAAATAGACGTAGTTGCGCGGGTAAACAGCGTGATAAAATTCTTATATCTCGAGCTAATCGTTATTAGATCCTCTGTGCATCGGCCAACAATGGCACTTCTCTAGGGTCGTGTAAATTTCGTAAATTTTGAAAATAATCCTCGTAATTTGCTCGTACCGTGTATTTGATATCTGGTTAAATGCGGGGCAAAGTTGCGGAATTCCTCAACCTAGTTGGCATAATTGAATGAGATGCGTCGGTTCGGAATGCTGACTATTTGTGTGTAATTTAATAGCTAACCGATCTGTGAACAGCTCGCTTTAAGTACATCGCAGCCGGAGCTTAAGAGGGCATTCATTATTCTCTCTCTGCTCATTTATTTTTCGTAGAACGTGTACCACTTCTGCTAATACGAGATCGCGGCGCCATCGTGCACGGAGTGTCAAGTTTAGTTGAATTTATTAAATCATCCGCGCGCACCCGATAAGTATTCCCTTGCGCAAGTGGATTATTTCATCGCCCTAATAAGCTCCTGTACGTGGATAATGAAACCGTAATTCGCCAGGTTAATAGGGCGAAATTCCTGGGAATAGAAAATTTAATCGGATCGCCGCCTTAGACATTTAATGCAATTTAAGTATGCGGTCGTTGGTCTAATTCCGAAATAATTTCGATCAACCTTCACGTCGAATTTCAGCGATCCGCCTGCAAGATGGCACCTTCCTGCTGAACGGAAATTACAACATCAATTTATCCGGGGAATATAAAGCGGCCGGAACGACTTTCGTTTACATCCGTCAAAGTCCGCAGCATCTGGAAAGCTTCGCAGCACTTGGGACTTTGCAGGAGCCAATTGACGTCATGGCAAGTAACCGAATGCGTCTCACGTGTAATAGACCACTTTCAAAGAAACCTAATCCGCGCGATATTAAGAAATAGACCGCCGCTGCTGGTGTCAGTGACCGTTGACCGTATACAGGGTGAACTACTTAACATCATCACCTCGAATAACTCGTCCGCGATCATGAAACTTGATGTCGGGTAATTTCGATCGCGGTATTTTATAATTAAACCCACCCAGAGAATAATAATACTTGACCAAATCAACTTTTAACGACGTCTAATTATTTCAGGTGCTGTACCAAGAGCCAAACCCGGGCATCATCTACCGGTACATCATCCCAGGGAACATGAACGTAATGTCGATTAAGTCACACTCACGTCTAGGTGCAGGTATTACTTCCGAGATATAATAATAAATTTTCATTACCTTCTGAATTTTACCCTGAAACCACGTAAATCATAGGAATTAAAGTAAGAAGAATAGATCTAAGCCCCTCTACTCTATTTACCCCGGAAACGCTTCTTTCAGCGTACGGCAAGACCTCCGAGATCAGCGTGCCGAACTCCGTGTACCGAAAGTAAGTGAAGGTAAATAAATAACGCTCGTATATCGGTATCTTGAGGATATTTATTAATTCCTTCAGGTCCGACAACGCAAGCTCGATGATCGGCGACGAGGGAATGCCACCTCCGACTTCCAGGAGGAACCGGAAACGGAAGTTCTCGTGGAAGCCCGTTGGACTGACCGAGTGCACCAAGTCCTGCGGAGGCGGTAGGTTTCGATCGGCGATATTCCCTCTCGATATCGCTCTTATCGCATCCGCCGTACTTATAAGGTGCTCGCTCCCGATTCCTGCGAAGTGGAGAAAGCTAACCGGCAAACTTTCGATCCGGCATGTTAAAGGCTACCAGACGAAGCGGTACATCTGCGTGAGGGAGCACACGCAGATGCAGGTGCCCGAGAAACGGTGTCACGCCTTGGAAAAGCCGAAGCTCGTGCAACTGCGGTGCAACGTCAGACCTTGCCCGCCGAAGTGAGTCGAATCGCGAGAATTCGTTCCCCCTTCGATCGCTTCGCGTCGTTTTACAGTGCGTCTGAAATTCGCGCGACGAATCCCCGCCGTAAAGTGCTGTGGTTATTTTTCTGGAAATCCAAGATGGCGGAGCGGACCTTGGAGCGAGTGCTCGGCGTCCTGCGGGAAAGGAGTGCGAGTCCGCGAGCTGGAGTGCGTCCAGGAGGTGAATCCCATGCTGACGATGCGAGTTCCCGATGGAGCTTGCATGGACCTGAAGACGCTTCCGGTGTCGGAGTCCTGCGAGACGTCATCTTGCGAGGATCGCTCCAGAATGACCCACGCCGCGCCGGCGCCATATTGGGACGTGGGAACTTGGTCCCAGGTAATCTACCAAATTATCTACGAAATTTGTACCTTTCCTCCGCTATTATTAATCAACGCTGTTATTCGTTTGTCCATCTCAGTGCTCCACGACTTGTGGCCCCGGAAGGCGGACGCGCCAGGTTACTTGCATAACTCTGGGCAATCCTTGCATAGTGACGGAAATGCCGGCAGTTCACGAACCCTGTGACCTAGAACCTTGTTCGACGGAGTCGCTGAAAAATGTCGTGCCAACTGATCCCAACGCTTCGCCCTGGCTCTACACCGAGTGGCCTCAAGAGGTATCTCGAAGGGAACGGAGATACGAGAGCATCTCGCGGTTTCTATTAATTCCTGTCGATAGGATTTCTCTTCTATCATTTTTGATTTTCATTTCAGTGCTCGGCAGAATGCGGAACGGGATTGTTGACTCGCAGGACCTTGTGCGGGGCTGCCGACGAGAACGAGCCTTGCGAGGAGGACAGCAAACCCCTCACTGTAAGGACTTGCTCGTACAACAGAACGTGCAGTGGTCAGTGGTTCACGGGACCTTGGAGTCAGGTAATCCGAAAGCCGATTTATCGTTGCAAATTGTTTGCCCAAAGCGGTGCAGCCTAATCGAGATCGATACCTCCAACAGTGTTCTTCCGACTGCGGCGAGGGCGAACAAGTCAGGGAGGTAGTTTGCGTCACCGCGTTACGTGGATCGCTTCGAGTGGTCCTGGACATGAACTGCCCCGTAAATAAGCCAGAAACGAGGATATCCTGCCAGGGACCACCCTGCACATCGTCCTGGTTCATGTCCGACTGGTCCGAAGTAAGCATTCGACGAATAGAGCCGTAAATGCCGGTGTTCGAGGAGGTAACGAGAGCCGATTATCTTCGTCCTTAGTGCACTCGATCTTGCGGAAAGGGAATGCAAAAGAGGGAGGTCAAGTGCTTAACACCGGGTGGACAACCTCCCGAATCGAATCAGCCGCAATGCAAGGCCGAAGATCGTCCGATTAGCCGCAGGACGTGCAACGACTATCCTTGCAGAGTCATTTACGATGCTCACGATTCCGAAAATCCTCGACGAGTGGTACAGGTTCAAAACGATCCGGAGATCCCTGACGGTAAACACTCTTCCAATGTCGCTATACCGTATTGATATTGTAATTAGCTACTCTAGCGATCTTACTCAATGACCGTATTTACTTCGCTTATGACGACGCTTATGCCTTTGGACGTGTTTGTAATAATTATTACTATATTCGCACTTGAAGGATTGGTTGACGACCCACTCTGCAGAGACAATATTTCAAGTTGCCACCTTGTGATTCAAGCTCGCCTTTGCGCTTACCAGTACTACCAAAACTTCTGCTGCCTTTCGTGCAGACGATTCAAACAAGAAAACGAATGACGATTTGTCGCCCTTGGTACTTGACGATACGGTGTAATGTCATACATATCAATGCCATCGCTGGAGATTTTCTGCGTTATGTCGCAAACGAAGGTACAAAATTGATGAGCGAGTTCCAAAGTCCTCGTAATTGATAGTACGTTGTGGAGGCCTGACAAATTACAGCTATTTCTCCTCGCGACTGAAACGCGGTACCCATAGAGCGTATTACAAATTTACAGTATTCTGGAATTACATCACAAAACTCGTCAAATGCAATGAAATTGTATTAGTACCTACGTATCGATATTATACGTATATTTACGTATTTAGTGAAACTGTATACCGAATGTTTGCCTCATAGGGTCGATTATTAGAATTCGAAGATTCGTGATTTCTGCTTAAAAAGTCACCCTCGACGCTGTGTCAAATTAAATTCTAAATTCTAAATAAGATAATCATCTGCTCTTCACAATTTGCAATTACTTACACGGTGGTTGGCAAATGGATTATACTTCGGCCGAGTTTTTGTCATTATTTTGAATAGCGAGTAATATTGTGCCGCTTTAAGTCTCAATATTTTGAATCCATTAATTACTTCATTCCTCGGTATAACAGCTTTAGCAATGAATCTCAGTATTAAAAGCATCAATAAATTGCTTTTCAGGATGTCGAACAATTTTTTATTAATTTAAAAATGCTACCAAAAAAATTGTACGCCGATTCCAAATTGGAACAGCTTATTGCTGCCCCTCTCGTCCTGATATGAACGCGGTATTAGATATCTACATTACTTGGTAGAAAAATGTAGTAATACGTAATTCGAAACCTGTATTACAGGGAGGATCGGATAACAACTGATTTCAAGTACTATACAAAATGGCTAACACATTAGTGCACTTGAAATCAATGTATGTCTTGTGTTCGTACTTATCTAATTCATCGCATGAAAAAATAAATATGTATTAACATAGAAACAAGCATGTGAGCGATCGTCATTATTTTAATGAAAAGATAGAAAAAAGGGGCTTTATACATCCTTGCCTAAGTGTAGATAATTAAAACTGCATGCGTAAAAAAGCGTATAATGTAATGCTCTGTGAACGTATGCGATATGTAAAAACGGATAACGAAATTCTACCGATAAAAAAAAAAAGAAATATATATTTTACCAGAATTTTCTACACCCACTATGCGTAATTTGTATTAATAAAAGTAAAGCTTTTTCCCAGGCCATTTTTCATTTTACTTTTTGCCAGTAATCGCTTACCATATGAGTATGTTGGAAATTTGGTGTAATGTAGCTTAATTTCACATTTAATTTTAATATGCTCTTTTGGGGAGAACGCTGAAAAATCGCGGTGGTTGTTAAAAAATCTTTGATTGGCATGCATGTAATTGTGTATAATAATTGTACCTCCCATTATCGGTTAGCACTCTTTTTCGATCACTTTTGACGATTGACGTACATATTCGCGTCATTGAAATTATGATTCGTTCAATACAATCATACAATTACATTCAGGTACAGAAACTGATATCAGTAATTACTCTACACCGTTCAAATGAAATTAACTCCTTAAGAAATACCAAGAAAAAAATATATACACGTGGAAATTCTTTTACGGATTCATCGTGTCACAGGGTTTTTTTATCCTGACCATTGTCGACGTATCCCATCGGCATCTTTGATGCGCTTGTTGTTTCGTCTTGGCCAATAATAAAAGTGGAAAATACGAATCGAAGTCTGGTATAAATTAGGCTCCGTCTGCAGGTAAATATACAGGCAGGTACGTACGCGGTTATTAAAAAAAAGAAGTGAGTACCATGTACTCCGACATAACTACCAATTTCTCATATGTGCTGACCGACGTACCCGTTTATTACGACGAAGAATACTAAATATGCTGTGTCAGAATCTCCTTTACTTACCACTCGTATATCTCGGTAATACGGATATATCAGCATTGTTTGTTTATGCGAAATCGCATCATTCGTGTACTAACATCAATGTATAAGTGCACTCGATTGCGAGCATTGTCGGATCCAACGGGCAAGAATTGCCTGAGTTGATACAATGATTATAGAGGAAAACAATTTGGAGTAAGGGTCAACGAACTCTCATGTCAGGGGTCAATGGACACGGCTAAAATACCTGTGATTTTTGGGAACCCCACCGAGTGTTCCATTTTTAAACAAAAATCAGAATAACGCATGCTGTACTCGAAAATTTCAATGTAATGCTGACGATGTAATTATCGAACAGAGATTATTATTTGTCCTCCAAAACATGTTGAGTCAATATTTTGTAATGAATCGTGGATCAGTGATATCGATGTCAGTGTTAATAACCTGCCACTCGATTTTACTATCACATTCGTCCCTCACGATGTGAATCCATACTTGTCGTAATTTAGAAACTAAAAAAATAGAACAGACCAGCGTGATTTTACTATATAAAATAATGCTTATCGCTGATAAGGTAAATGGCTAGTTCACTTATCTGAGTAGTTAATGATGTGGATCAAGAGACAGTTATGGACACGCGTATATGCCTTGTCACGGTGACAAAGCTGCTGTGTTGTATAGGGTCATTATTACAGTCATTTATTATCATCGCGATATCAGGAGGGTACGATCAATGTTCTCATTAGCGATGGTCTCCTGAAAGAAATTGCAAAAATAAGGTACAAAAGGAGGAAGGGCTGTCCATTGTAACTTTTTGGACTCATTCTAGGATGTCACCGGGATCGCCATAACAAATGGATCATTGTTGCAATAACGCAGTCATCGTCGCGTAACGATAAAATCACAAGGGTGGTAGAATGTATTGAAAAGCCATTTTTATATTATAAAAATTTTCCATTTTTATTTCGCTATTAATATATTAGAGAGAGTGTTGTCGCAAGTATCCGATTCATTCTCAATTAAATGTATAGCTTTTTTACATATCATGGACTTATGATTAAAAATATGCAATAAATGTATTACAAAGAAATTAAAAGTTTATACCGATCTTTGTTATGAGGTCACGTATATACAATTGTTCGATTACTCGCAAGAATATCTAAAAAATTACGACGCAACGCGTCGACCTACAAATACAATTATTGTATAATATTCTGATTAATAACGCTTAAAAGTTAAAAAAAAAACTATAAGACCAACGTTTTTCGAAGAAATCTCCAACTGTGGTGAAAATTGCTTCACCATTGACTACCAATAGAATTTAAATGAAATTAAGTCGGCGAAGCGATTATTTTATCTCGCTTTTATTTCCAGATAAATTCCATTTCTTGGACGCTGAACAGGGACACCAGGAGAGTAAGTGATTGGGATTTCAGTCTTATCACAGACAGAAAATCGATACCGTGACAGCATGGTAACGAGAGCCACTTTTACTTGCATAAGTCCGAACCGGTTACCTGTAACGATTATTTCTTGCATGTATACTTAAGTAATTACGGATTTTTGTCCTATCGGTAAATGCGCATGAAACACTAGGAACGTCTCTACGAGCAGAGATGGGGTTCACTTACCGATACAAAACCTCGGCCCTTCGCCGAAAGGCAAATAAGTGAAGGAATTACGACTCGCGACATTCTCCGGAGAAAATCTCTCCGGGTCGAATTTGTCCGGATCGGGATAAATATTGGAATCGTAGTGGAGTCCAACAACTGGTATTATGAGCTTCATTCCCTTGGATATATGTAAATCCATTGAAGGTAGATCGCAGTCCTTCGTGCAGATACGATTGAGCATCGGCACCGGTGGATACTTCCTCAATGTCTCTTTGAATTGAAAATGAAAAATCGGCCAATTTGAAATATTTCAAGCAGAATTTACGAATCACGCAGCAATGGCGTCGAATTTGTGCAGGGTATACTTACCGGAAACAACTTTCTGCAAGTACGTCATTTCGGTTAGACTGTCGTAACTGAGGGAACCGTGTTTCTTCAACGTAACGTCGATTTCCTCGCATAGTTTATCTTGTATTTCTGGATGCAAAGCCAATTCGTACATGCAGAACGAGACGGTGGAAGAGGAGGTCTCGAAACCTGCTACGAAGATGAGGAACGCCTGAGCAGTTCCTTCCAACATTGTGAGCGCTCCGGTAGATGATTCTATAAATAAAGTACAATTAAGAATCCATAACACTACGCGCTATTATTCCTTGCATAATTTGCTTCGATGCGAGTCACGTATATTAACTTACTCGGCTTGTTCGGGTTTCCCTCGTCATCGTCCGTGTATCCGCGATCGATAAGCTGCATCAGTTCGTTCAAAAAGTCTTTTTTAATGATATTCTTCTCCTTTCTCATCTTCACCACGTCGGAGAAAAATCGAATGAAAAAGTCCGAGATCGATTTCTCCAGAAAACGAAGTTTTACCAGGTAGGCAAGAGACGGGGCAAAAAATACGATAAGGTTCCTCATCGGTTGTGATCGAAAGGTCTTCTCTCCGTAATAGTGGAACCCGTTATTTGGATCTTTTAAGCTGTTGGAGTTCAATCCAAACGCTGCAGAAGATATGATATCCATGGTGTACCTGTAGCAGGTGGGAATACCTCAATCTCTCGTTTTAAGCATCGAATTTCTAAGTTCCATAATTTAGACTACTTTCTAATTTACTTATTTTATCGGTAATTGCGTCTATGAAAATTCTTCGATAGGGGGATGTATTTTTACGGGCGTCTTGAATTAACAGAAGGAGCAGAATAGTACCTAATGATGATGTCTTTGATGTCGACCACCTTCGAAATCTTTGCCGTATCATCGAGGCATTTCGCGAGTTCCTCGGCACATTCTGTCATCACGAAGAACATCTGCTTCATTTTCCCCGAGGTGAAAGACGGTGAGAACTTCGATCGGAGGTTTTTCCACTTTTCTCCCCCAAGTAAAAACAAGTGAGCCGAAACGGGGTCCACTTTTTCGTTCAAGTATAATCCACGGTCGGGAAAATGAGAGAACTCTTTATTGAGGACTAATCTAATGAGCTCTGGATCGGTGATAACCAAATGCGGCTGGTGGAACATATAGATCCCATAGTACCGAAAGTGTTTCGATTTCATGTAGCTTCGTTTAAAGAAGTCACCTGAAAATACGGGTTAACTTGAAGATACGGTGTCCGTGAACACGATATAAATAAATTCTTTGTATAATTATTTAACTTACCAAAGGACACGTTTTTTACGAGGGATTCGTAGAGATTGCCAACAGGCACTATAGGCTCTTCGTAAGGTACTCCCAGTCTTTTCCAATAGCCGAAAACGACCCATTTCAGGTACAGATAGATCGAAACAACGAAGAACGTGATCCAAAGTAGTTTCGAATTGTAGAATTCCTCGGCGGACCACATGATCTATCTTCCTACCGAGGAATTTCAATTCCTCGTTTAGGAGCTTCGGTGGCGACTCCAACTTGCGGAGAATCGAAGCGGTTTGGCGTTCGGCGTTCCTACGTCCGTGGATTTAAGTATACACAGTACAAAGAGGGGATTGAGAATAGCAAGTCATTTCAAGACTCGACTTTCAGCTTCAGATAAAAATGATAAACTTGTTTTGGGTGGGAAATTCTGCTGGACCTTCGTACCTTCGAAGATGGAATTGTATTTCCGTAAATTTGATCATTTTGGCCACGGAGTATATGGGGCACAAAATTAAGAAAAAATACTGGAAATATTTTCGAATTATTACTGAGGTGTATAAATTGTACGGTGAAGTTTCATTCTTACTTTAAAATGCTCTCTATCGACAGGTAAGTGAGTTTACAAACGTGTCTTTGCTTTAATTAAATACCTGTTCTAGCGCTTCATCCTGGGTGGTACTTTCACCTTCGGATACAAAATGCCGTCAATACAGTAATTAGCGACCGATAACCGCTAATAAGACATTTCTGGAGATTTAATATTGATGTTTTACGTAAACCAGACGATAAGTTTGCAATGTACCCGTTGAACGTATGGCTACTTATGCAATGACTTCGCAGATTACTACTCGTGCAATGTCGGTCGTATTGAAAACTACTTACGATTTCCAGATTGATTATGTATCATTTTAAGAACCCTAACAAGGAAGTGGAATTTGGAAATAACGAAGTCATCGTGTCTACAGATCGCATGTGGGATTTTTGTCTTTGCATGAAAAATTGTGCCGTCCACAAGCTTTGATAAGTATATAGATGAGACATACCAAAGATACCTAATTCATGAGGATCAATTGGTATAGAGAGAAAAAAATCAAAAAGGACTGCAATATCGGCTCGTTACATTTTTACTACCTCCGCTAATTACGATGACGTCACCATGTTGCAAGAAACGTAATAAAATGATGTAACAATTAATAAATCCACTTGCCATGGATAATAAATCGCTGTTATCCATAAACGACGAGCATCATTCTTTATTTGAAGGGGAATTTTATTTTGTTGAAGATTACACCTTGTTCCTGACTCTCCGTAACTCCTTTGAAAATACTAGTCGGGAAATCTAAGAACACTGACAATAAAAACCAAAGTATTCTCAGAGAAGGAAGAATGGTAGCGTGACTCGGAGGCAATAATTTAAACATTCGCTTACATCATTCCGTACCGGTTATCTTCGAATATTAGTTTTTGCTTCTGATGAATAACTTATTTCTTACAGTCACGTTACCATTGCACGTGTATTAGACCCTGTTAACGCTGTAACGTACATGGACACGTAATTTATCCAATAGGAAATATTAATTCTACATGAAAAGACAAATTTCTGCTCCCAGCGTAAAGACGCAAATAGGAGAAATTACGTGCAAATTCAAAGGACCATCATAGAAGAGCAATGTTAAAATTTAAAACCAGCTCGAAGGGCAAAAGTCACGAACTCAGCCGATCGATAAATATTAATAAGTCGAGACACCGACGAGACAAAGTAAACTGGTACAGCTCGATGGAAATATCAATCTCTCACTCGGAGTGGAGAATAATAAGAACATCAACTGGATTGATCGCTCGAAATAATACCAAGGAATCAAAGTTCACGAATTTGATAAGTTATGCTTTATTACCAACGTATCCAATAAAATGTTTCAGAACAACGGGAACAAGATGGATCTCGATGTCTCACAATGACATAAAGGTGGCGGTAAAAGTAGAATCAGGGTTTGTTGTAATTGTAAGATCCCTTTCAGAGTAGCCCTGAACTCATTAGCACTTCGCTGCTGTATACGAAATTATCCGCATTCTGCTTTTTCAGTACATCCTTTATCTCCTGATATACTTTGCCTTCTATTTCGCTGTTTAAAGCCAATTCGTATAAACAATATGGCAGATAAAGATAACTGAAGTGAATTGAAATGTCATCGCGTAGATGAGTACTTAAGCAGATACATAAAATATAGAAGGTTAAATGATAACATTCGATCTTGCAATGTTAAACTTAAGGATAAGAAAACGAATCACTGACTTTAGTTATGTACACCGATGGATGGTCCTAGCAGGACTCGTGTTTTTACTCGAAGCAAATGTATGCAAATTCATTTAATTCCATTGCTGGCATAAAAGGGAGAACTTCACGTTTTTTTAGTTTAACCGGTAAGGTATGTTTAACAGAACAGTCGAGAGTTTCCTGAGAACTTTTTGCTCGTGAAAGTTATGCTCTTTGTTCGTAAATTGACCGAGCAAAAGAAGGGTTCAATTACCTAGGAACTGCTCCAGTTCATTCCTCCGCAAGGTTTTATTATGAAATACCATCTGTAGAAGTGATAAAATTTTCGCATACTCATTGTGACAAGATCCGTTTCATAAATGGGTCTTTCAAGAACTGGAACAAGAAATGTTAATAAAAAGTTATAAATAATATTTTGACCCACGGTCCTCCAGACTCTTTTCGAAGTCTTTTAGTTATTTAAATTTTTCTCCTGTCTGTTTTAACACGCGTATTTTTACTTACAAAGATATTCATACCTTACTTTTATGACCAAAAGACGACTTTTAACTTTTACCGCGGTCTGATCATCTTTAACTAAAGGATGCTTAAAAGCGTTCATAAAAGTGAGGCATAAGTCAGGGCCAAAGAGTTCATCGTATTTTATATCAGGGGACGTCATATATCATTTTTTTCATGTTTTCATTTCCCACATGGGAAGAGTTCATCGGTGCTGCACATAAATGTGTTCTTTTCGTTCCTACCTCAGTTCAACGGTATGACCTTTTTGTCAGAAAACACATTTTTTATCGGGAGCAATTTAATCGGAAGAGCAAATGGAAAGTAAAGAGTGGGCCTCGTTAAACGGACAGAAAATTGGCTGGGTGAAGAAAAGCGTGCATAGTTTTGTATGAAAGATTAAACGGTAATGAACACGTTTGACACGTTCGTCAGCAAGAGGAAACGGGAAGCACTTTTTCCTTTTCCGAAATTATCGGTAAAGATACGTTCGATCTTAATAAAGTCGAGCGCACATCGAACATTCCTTAACCGCGAAAATTAACTCAGCTCGTTATCGCAAGGGTAGAGGAAGGAGTTCGTTCACCTAGGAGTGCTTCGAATCCCTCTTCCATAACCTTTCATTACAAAATACTAAGTGCGATAGCGAGATGTGCAGCTCGCACTATTATTACGAGCTGGAGCCTTACTTTGGCCAGGCCCGTAAGCGGTGCATCGCTCGGGAACATTAATAAGAAAGCATCGACGAGTGCGAACAAGTGATGTTTTGCCAGAAAGTATTGCACATTACATGTAATCACATTAAATATTATATATTATTTATAATCTGTGTAATTACCTGAATCACGCGTTATCAGTGCTCATTGCGGAATATTATAACAGTGATGAGCCATTGTTTTCGACACTTCCTGGGGAGAAAAAATTCCCCAAAGGAAACGGCACCGGCTCGAGGGCACCGCGTCAAAAGGCGGGACGATATCTCAATTTTGCGAGCCTCTAAACCTAGTTATCGGTCTTCAAATTTAAAGACGTGAAAATGAGGGAAAAAAGAAAGAGAGTAAAAGTGGAAGAGAATCGGTTGTTTCCGTATTTTGTTTTTTCTCCAAGTCAAGTGAAGGGGAAATCAACGATTCGCGAAAAGCCTGCGAAAACTAGCGGCCACGTGATGCCTATTTGTAAAGCATCGCGTGCCAACGTAAAATTTGTACTTACCTGATGGTCTCTGAATTTTTCTTATTATTTATAAACACTCGAGTTATGGAATATATGTCAAAAACCTTGAATAACGCGTCACTATCCATCCTTTTCTACGTGGAAGTACGTTGTCCTCGATGAGTGACCTTACCATCGACAGGGACGAAATTATGCAAAGAATTCGTCGGCGTCGCCATCTTGCGGAGAAAGGCGGAACGTACTAGTATGAAGGCCTATGCAGCCTTATTAGTTCCCCATCACGAATTCATGTAATCCGAGATCGATAGGACTCGTGAACGGAGTTTCTTCACGGGGTGAAATTTGGAACGGTGTAGGAAAAGTGCGTGCGAGAGGAGCTTCGTAGTTGCGACGATCGGCACAGGTGCCAGAAGACGATGGCGACATGAGCCAACTGGTCAACATGAGAAACGGGCAAAGAAGTCATAGGATCGGATAATCAGCCCGATCGCGGACAACCCGACTAGATATGTCAAACGAGTGAGCGAGTCTACGAGCAACAAAAGGACCTCTGATCTCATCGCCTTACGAGTGCTTCTTTTTATTTCAAACAAAGATCGATTGAACCCAGTCACATGGCAATGACGTATCTTGTTTGATAGTTGCACGAGTAATTCCTTGTAAGTCGAGTTATTCCTTCAAACCTTATTTGAGAGATGTGCTTAACTGTACTCGTAGTATTAAAAAACTCATCGAAGGCTCCGTACAGTAGGGCTACGAGGCGAATTTTTTTTCACCTCGATAATCGAATCTTTACGTCATCAAATCACAAGAAACAGCATGAGTTCCGTGTGGAAACGACTTCAGAGAGTGAACAAGAGAGCGGCGAAGTTTCAATTCACCGTATCGTATCACGAGGTTACTCTTGAAACTACGTCGAAATGGTGAGAAATTGATCGCCTGATTTGAATTAGTAATTGAAGCGAAGGAGATTGTAAAATCAATTGTTTGTTTATGGTAGGAGGCCGAACAAATTAAGCATAGTTTGGACACGGAGAAGCCGCAGAGTCAGCACGGACCCACTGGAATGGGAACCGTCCTTGAGTGATCCCTTGAAAGGAGTCGTACAATGGCCGGTGCCAGACAATCATACCGTTTCCGTTACTTTATTCAAAGATCCTAGGACTCACGAGTTAGAGGATAAAGATTGGACTTTCGTCGTCGAAGATGTGAGATTACATGATAATAGCCTTGAACTTTTACCCAAAGCGATCGATGTTTTATAGTGGCAGCATGATGGTTAATTTACTTCGTGAATGTTGTAAGCTAACGTTGATTAATGGTTTCTGCAACTGTGAACAGGTTTCGGTAACGGGTAAAAGGCGCCATGTAGCTGCAGCAAATATAAATATGAAAAAATATGCAACGCTTGAATCTAGTCAGCAACAACTTAAATTAGACTTGAAACCGACTTCCAAAAAAATTGTTAGTGCAACGTTAGAATGTACCTTATCCTGTGTCTTTCTCAGAGAAGGAAAAGCCACGTAAGATATTATTTTTTACTATTATAAAAGATATCCTTAATCCCAAATAGATTTATGTTGGAACTTAAAATGAATCTCCATAATTTTTATGAGTATTTGGTACTAACAAATTGGAAATCTTTTTTCACAGAGATGAAGATATGCAAAGTATGGCTAGCTTAATGTCCGTAAATAATAACAGTGACATTGCACCTCTAGACGACTTTGATAACGAAGATATACCTGAAGACGTGGAAGAAGTGTCCTTAAAAAATATAGATGAGATTTTGGACATCTCTACTCAACTTGATCTCATGACGAATAGTCTCACAGAGAGTGAATTACCTAGTACTCCAGTTAGCGGTAAGTTATATTTATGTTAATACTAAAAAAGAGAACAATTTTAAAAGAGTAGGTCCATTAATTATTAATCTGTTTACAGTGGCCAGCTTATCAAAAGATGAAACAACTCCTGTAAACGAAGATAATCACTACATTCAAGAAATTAATAGATCCATGTGCATTGTTGATTCCATAAAACAAAAGTCACCACTGAAGAATGAAATTGCCGTCGAAAATGAGTACATATTTTTTCGTATTGTTTTGGTGTATTTCAAATGAAGCAAATTTAAGCTTTCTAATTTAAAACAAATTTTGCTTATTATAGTAAAAATACAGAACACGCTTCTATGCGATTGCCTCTGCGACCTTTAGAATTAAAGAAAAGTGAGATTTGCACGCCCAAATTGAAGGAAACTACGCCAGGTCAAGACTTATTGGAATGGTGCAAAGAAGTAACTAAAAATTATCCTGGAGTAAAAGTTACTAATCTGACCACGTCCTGGCGTAATGGAATGGCGTTTTGTGCAGTTATTCATCATTTCAGACCAGATCTTATGTATGTTTTTAAACCGTGTTTATTATTTTTTAACGGTTTGGATAAAAATGTTCGAGTTATTTTGACCAACCACGTGACACGCACAAATTTATTTACGTTCTTCATACTGCGTAGAGAGTATGTCAGCTCATCAGGAAAAAAATAACTTTGGCAGTATGCCAAATATTTTTGAACACTTGCTCTGTCAATAGTTACAGCATATTAAGCAAATTAATATTGCAAGATCTGTCAATTAAAATTACTTAAATAATCAAATGTAAAAATAATGTATAATTATAATAATTTGCAGTGAAGTTGACGCTTTATTATCACACGACGTTAAAGGCAATTGCAAAAAGGCATTTGACGCTGGAGAAGCTTTGGGGATACCTAGAGTAATTGAGCCTGCAGACATGGACATCTTAACGGTACCTGATAAATTAGCTGTGATGACATATTTGTACCAATTAAGAGCTCACTTTACTGGCCACGAACTAGAGGTAAGAAGAGATAAAATACACGGCATTGGATTACAAAAAGTGGTGTTAATACAATTTTAATTGTACTAGGTACATCAAATTGGTAAAACGACCGATGAATCATCATACATGATCGGCAGATTTAACACAGACGACAATACAGACGTTAGTGTTCAACTTTTTGGTCAAGAAATTATTAATTTGCGTAAAAAGGAGCAGACGGACCAAAGGAATAATAAAACAGATAATAGACGGTAAGAAAATAATATTACAATATTATAGTTAATCTCATAATTCAGATTAACCTAAAAATTGTATACGACAATGATTGCAGGTCCAATCCTTTTGATGTTAAGAAGGAAGATATTAATATTGATTCAATTAAAAATAAATTGCATTTGAGCTTAAATCCAGACTATCCAGATCATGAGCAATACAATAAAGATAAATCGCCGTCCAGCGTTAAAGATGTTAAAGATATAATACTGGCTAGTTCAAAGAGTATTCTAGGGAAAGTACTGTCTCCAACTAAAGAAAAATACACAATTAGAGACAAGGTATGTCTTTAGAATGTATTTGTAATGTGGCTTTGCATTTGCGTAGGAATTTATTGGTAATATGGGCTATTTTAAAATTCAATTTTAGAGCGCTTCTCCGCCAAGAACAACCCAAGTACCACAACGTCCAATCTTAATGACCAGACGGCAATTAACGGATCCTTTCGGCTCAGATGAAGAAGATGAAAATATACAAATTGTCGATGAAAAATGGTCACAGTCCATTTCCACTAACAAGTCGCAGTCGCCCAGTCGAGATGTCAGTAAACATGAATCATTACAAAATGTTCTCTACATATAACATTTCCTTGCTTATTTTTGAACATCAATAATGTTAAATTACTGTTGATAATAGACGTACGTTTGTTGCAGGATTCTATAAAATCTGAAAGGAATAGTCGAGAAAACTCAGAGCGTCGCGGGACGTCACCATCGCAAGGAGAGCAACGTTCACAACACGTAAATAAAATTGTGAATTTTGAGTTGCAATAACATTAGAAATCAATGTAATTAATTTTATTAATTCCTTTGAAAATAGCCCCTAGTCACTCGTCATGATGAGCTTAGAGAAAGAGCTAGGCAACTTTTAAAACAAGCTAGGGGTCAGTCAAAATCGGGTGGACTTACGTCGCCCGCTACAAGTCCTGTGCAGGTATATTCACCTACATTTGCAATAGAGAACTCGGTAAATGAATGAATAGACGATATCTTTTCAGTCTCAATGTGACGAGGACAGGCAACAACAATTGAGAGAAAGAGCGAGACGTTTGATAGCGGAAACTAGGATGGGTGTTACAGTTACTTCAAGTCAAATTGGCGAAGATAATAATAGTGACAGAAGATCAACAGACGGTCAAAATAATAGTCCGAGAAGAAGCATGACACCCTCTACCCCGGGTGATCGTTTAAGCATGCAAGTTGGTATTATGTCGCAAATTCCAATCTTTTTGTGTAATTAATTATTTGCCGTCAACCATGATATTATCAATTCTGCAAAAATAATCTTTGTATTTTAGTCCGAACACAATGGAAATATAATAGCTAATACGAGTACTGCAGATGGAGACAAAAAGAGTGGATCTCCTCTGTATTCATTTTCGAAAATTATAGAAAGAATTTCACCTGAGAAGACAAGTCCAGACGGAAGTCCGTACACTTTAAGAACGGTGAGATACTTAATCGCAAGTACTTATTCTCGGTGTAAGAAATAATTAATATACTTTTACTTTCAATTAGTTGGGTAAAGATATGACGACGTACATTCAAAATGAACTTGAAGCGCTTGAAAGAGAACAAAGTCAAATTGACGTTCAAGCGGCTAAACTCGAAAAACAACTCAGAACTGCCATGGAGAGTGATAACGAAGAAGAAACTGAAAGGCTGATGTCGCTCTGGTTTACCCTAGTCAATAAAAAGAATGCTCTTTTACGGCGACAGATGCAATTGAATATTCTGTAAGTTTTACTCAGTCTACTTCATTCATTTGAGTTACAATAATCATGTAATATCATTCTCCACACTTCAGAGAGAAAGAAGATGACTTGGAACGTCGTTTTGAGCTCCTGAATCGTGAACTGAGAAGCATACTCGCAGTTGAAGACTGGCAAAAAACTGCAGAGCAAAAAGTTCGTGAAAATCTCCTTTTGGAAGAGCTAGTATCCATTGTCAATAAAAGGGATGAGTTAGTACATCATCTTGACACCCAGGAGAGAGCGTATGTATTTTCGTACTGAAGATGTACTACGTAAAAATTTCGGTGAGAATTATTGCTGTATTTTGTATCCTTTCTTTATTAACAGAATCGAGGACGATGACGAAATAGAACGTAAATTATCCCGTGCTGGCTTGGCGCAACGGAATAAGAATTGCGTTGTTCAATGAAAGTTTGAATAGGAGCATTTTATATAATTCTTCGAATTGAAGGTTTGCACACGGAAATATATATTTGCTTTATGTTTCGTTAATTTGCAACTTGTAATTAACTTTAATCTTGTGTAATATAAAATATTGTTCTAGGTGCGCCTCACATTGCTGTGCAGTTGCCAAAGAGATGAAGAACAAAATTCTGTTATTGCGAACAACTTATTGAAAAGAGGGTGATGCAATGTTAGCAGATATGCCGCTTTCAATCCATTGATACTTTGCGAGAAACGGTAGATTGGCGTACGGTCGTGATTTCAAATGATGCTTTAACTTAAGAATGCAAATAATCGAAAAGAGGGAAAAGCGTTTTAATGGAAAGCCTAACAGAGGTGGTGTGCTAGACTGTAAAGTCAACGTTCCTTTATTTGTACAATTTGTCGATCAGTCATCACATCGTCACTATGCGAAAGAAAGTTCACTTTCCAGCGTTTTGATCATAAAAAAAAAAAAAGAAATATCCCGAATTTATTATTAGAAGGGAAGAAATCGAGTGATTATTTACGCATCACGTTTTAAGAATTGAGTTTTAAAGGGTGGAAGTCCAGGAAATAGTGTCTAATTCAATCAGAATTTCTGCGATTGACTTCTCCTAATGACACATGTACTCAACGGTGTGCCATACAAGTTTCCTATAAGAAGTCTGCATGTGTACTCACTATACAAACTGAGCTCCACAAAATCGTTCTAGCTCTCACGTGCAATTTTTCAAAGGTATATTTTTTAGTATCGATTTTATAACCGACATAGTATATTGTTTGTACAGGTTTCGTCTCCACTATTTATTTCTTCAGATATTAACACTAGTGGTCATGTTAACGTATTACGTGATAAACATTAATTATTTCACTAAAGCTTGCTCGTTGCCTGATGGACTAGAAAAACCATTATAGCTACATTTCATGACTTCATGAGAGTAGTTTTTATCTATCTCAAACGAGACATCGAAGGAATAGGAAATCCTTAACCACTAACTAATTGTACAACCAATTTACTGACTCATCTCGATTGCATACTAACATACATGCCATTAACATCAATGACTCGATCTTAACGTATGAAGCCGCGTATTTGGCCTAATCACGAAAATTAAGTTTTAATCTTAGTCTATTTTTCAAATCGACGATTTTATATTTTAAAGGTGAAATCTCTTAGATTCTAACTTCACTTTAGATTATTAGCGAGGTCTTAAATTTGAGGAAGTATTTACATAATGTTGGAAAGTACAGTTTATAAATATTCTTGTTAAAGTACCACCCATTCAGTGATTTCGATATAATCATTTAGGTTGTCTTCGATTAATACTAACTGAAAAGCTTTGTTACGTGTACGTATTAAATTTATTTAAGATATTGGCTAACGCCACGAATTAAATATCCTAACGACCTCGGGAATTTCTTCTGTAGAAGAGTCACATTAGGATGCAATATACTTTGCACAATGTAGATTATATTATCGTCTTTGTAGAGCGAAGAAACGCTATTTTTTTAAAATTCTTCACGTTCATCTTATCGATATCAATTTCCTTAAGAATGGGAATACCCGTGATGACGTTGAGTCGGGTACTGAAACTATGCGCGACAAGTTGACTTCTTGGCGATCCTAAACCATATCCCTCGAAAATTTTAAAGCTTCTCTTACTCATGTATCATAGGAAATACATGTCCCATACATAGAAAATGAAACGTAAGTCGAGATTTCCCCCAGAGGATGCAGAATTTAAAGAGAAGTCATTGATACGCGGTACTCGATTTAACAGCTTAATACGTATATCTGTGCCGAGCCTGTAGCATTTATCACCTAGCTCCAATGTTCCAGTTACTATATCATATTACTGTAACATCATGAAAGCTTTAACACAGTGTACTGCATAAGCACTTAATTATTTTTAAATGAGAAATTATTTTTCTTTTAAAATTACACGCAATTCCGCGTTGCGGGGCGCGAGTTCGACGCCGCTCGGAAAATTGTGAATGGCTAGTTACAGAAATTGCGCGTAATAAAGAAATTACCCAAAACCGCGGTAATTAACTGACAATGACTCGGTGTGTAGTTGTCGACACTGTAAATATCAAGTTTTCATAATTCATAAGTTTTTCTATTGTATTGCTATACTTCAGGTTTTAAGTATCGTTAAAGGTATAAGAAAAGGAAAATCATTTTATCCGTGGGTTCTCTCATTAAGCCACTTTCTTAATTCGGAAATTCCGAATAGCGTGTCGGTAGGGTTCAATGTTTTTGTTCTAAAACTACCTATCCTTTAAGAATTTAAGGATTCCACTGGTAGGAGATTCGTATATCTGCACGCTCACGCATACATACATGTACGTACTTGCGACATCACCGTGCACTTGACGAAGATGTACTCTACGTGAAACACTCTCTCTTTTTTTTTTCTTCTTGTAACACTACTAATTTATTTTAAGCTATAATTTTCATATTTTATGAATAACTGAGAATGACTCTTGCCATTGACTACGTAGTCATGCGAAATTTAAAAGAAAGCGAAGAACGTAAACTTGTCATCGTGTACGGACAGTTGAACACGTGTTTGTGCAAACTGTCAAACGTATCTCGCAATATCCACTAGTAGAGTAAGACTAATAAAATGCTGTAAAAAATGACATTTACTTTTTTCAGGTTGGAATGCTTGTATTCCTTTTCTTTTATGAACATATTATTAATATTCAATCAATACGTTCTTGTAGACATTTATTAGGTATCAAAGAGCTGGGTGAAAATAATATGATCGTGATTTCTGTGCATATTCATCGTTTATTAAATGAACAAGGAGTATTTGTTTGTATTGTGGGATGGCGATATGTTACGCCCAACTTAGTGTAAGAAATTTACAGGAACAAATATCCCATCTTTAGTCAGCTAGGATGTACAAACTAATACATCCGGAATAGACGTAATACATGGTAATTAGGGTGAATAAATTATAAAACATTCTCAATAATTAACCGTGGGGCACGTTATGCTATGTCTTAAACATTGACTCCTCTATTTCGACTTTTAAATATGACGTTCGCAAGAGTTAGTCGTTTTCTTTTTTGGTATAAGCCATTGATCGTTGCTCGTATAAAGACGCAAGTAAAAGAATGACATAATTTGACTGATCTCATTTGCACCCATTACTCTTGACTAACTTACATGCTACGACTCTTTGGAATTTGTTCGATAAAATTACGCACCTATAGTGACGTAGAAATATGGATGCGGTATATCAGTGTGTATAAATTTTGGAAAATCCGTACCAAACGCTATTTTGTTCTGTACACACTTCTCTACGGATAGAAAAAAGAAAACACATCAAATATACAATATATAAAAAGACTACATTCTTGTGGTATTTCTGAATATAGAAATCCTATAAGCATGTAACAACGGTTAGAAAAAGAAAATATTTTTCCGAAACATTACAGTAGTTCGATTCTTAAACAGGTTCGAAATACATTTAGAAAAAAAAAAAGCAACGCTTCGTTGCCGTGCAATAATTAACAATAATAAGGCAACTGTAAATTGAATCGTCGAATCTTTCAGGTGACGACTGTTTTTCTTTCTTTTACATTACATTCATTGGCAGTAGGGATGCAGTTAAATGCAATCGCAGACCATTAAATTAGATGACTGAGTTTCTAGTACCCCTCTAGACGTTAATCTACTTACTACATATATACACGAGTACCAACTACCAATTAGTACTACACTCAACGTGTGACATCTTGCTCGTATTTTTGGTCAACGCATACAATGCGACTTCTCAGTACTTCTATATCTTCTCCACGTAATTTGAGGGGAAAAGTCCTGCTTTTCCTTTAAGTCTTCCATGCCACCAACCACCTTCATCTGAAATGGGAATGTAACTAAAGTATAGAAAAATATTATCTAATCGTTAAATTTACTATCGATCCACTTACGTTCCTTCAGCACCTCGATTAAGTCTCCTTCTTTGAATTCAAGCTCGTCTAGGTCTTGTGGACTGTAATCGTAGAGTGCCTTCACCTTTGGTAAACTTGGTTTCGGTGGTTTCTGACCCTGAGGCTTTCGAGCCATCGGGAGCGGTCTATTGGACTCTATTGAATTTTTATTACTACTTCCGTTGTTCTGTACGGGCTGTCCACCGCGAGCCTTGTTCTGTGCATTTGTTTGCTGACTTTTGTCGTCATTTTTGGTATAGCTATCGCCTGCGACGGGCGGTAATCTAAATCCTGTGTGTTCCGTTGGTTGCGCCGTTGGAGCTGGCTCGGAAGGTGGTGGAGGAGCTCTTAGAAGTCCTGTAAAATTCAACGATTAATTTAACGCGAGTACTCCAAAGTCTCTACAATGTTTCAAGTCATTAGGCAACCGCTGTTCCTACCTCGTGGACCTCCTCCTGGATTCGTGAACATTCCCATGACCGGCATTGATAAATTCTGCAATTTGTTCGGCTGTTTCGAGAGAGGCTTCTCTTTCTGGGCAGAAACGGTGTTATGCTGCGGCCGATTCGTTGGCAGATTTGGTCTTTCACTGGGCACCTGATTCGTGGAAAATGGATTTATTCTCTTCGGTGATTGTGGAGATAGAGTCGGCCTGTCGGTCGGGGCAGGAAACCTTGATGATGAATTCTGACTGTTTGTTGTCGACTGATTTGATATATTAGCAAATCGTTGCGACTCCAAAGATGGTCTTGGAGCAGGTCTTGTGGGGGTCTTCGTCGTTACTTCGGCCGATTGCATGATAGGACGAGATAACATTTGTCTAGCAGATGTAGAACCTAACGAGCGATTTGCGCTTGGTCCTAAAATAGAAATATAATTATTCTATTAAATTTAAGGGAATTAATTAAATCGTACTCGCGCTAAAACATTGCCACTTACTGGAAGTATTGGGTAAGCCAGGTCCGATGCTGACATTTAGCATTTTTCCACTGGGTTTTAACATCTCTTTATCGCCGTATTCTGCTTGGATAAATTTCACCTGCCGAGTACCTCCACCACCCCAACCTTCCTTCTTCACTTTAAATTCCAAACTGGCAAAATAACGAATAAACGAATTTTATTAGAAATATTTTTTTCCATGATGTCGATGCTTTTATTTTAAGGGGAAAAATAAATAGAATTTGGGGTAAGAAATAACGCTCCTTTCTTAGGCAATAAAAGCAGACGGGTCAATTTCTATTATTCACAATTTCTATTATTCACATAAACTACGTTAATACTTACTTATTACTGAACCGAATGCTTAAAGGATGTCCGGTTTCTCCAAGATAATTCTGACTCAGGACGGACAGAAACTCGGTCTTAAATACCAATTCCAGTAGACTGGCGTAATCTTCCTTGGTATGTATAATCACAAAGTCGTCCTACAATTCAATTTGCAAATTAGAACTCGCCTTCTACCGTTTCAGCAAATGATAGGAATTGGCTAGGATAAATTATTCACGTCGACTTAGACAGGTACGACACATTTACACATACCTGTAGATGGCTCAAGGAAACGTGGCTGATTTGTTCGAAGGGAAGCTTCCGTTTAACGACCTCTACGGACTTATTCTTATCAGCCCCCTTCTTAATTTGTTCTCGGCCAATAAGGTAAACGCATTTCCCGGTCACTATCAGGTCTCTGCGACACATCTGAAACCATAATTAATGATTAAATCTTTCAGTCCATGCAGGGTGCTCTTAATGAATTAAGAACACCTCCTATTGCCTTGGGCACGGATCTTTGCCTCTTCCTTCTGAATACCTTACACAGACTATCATTAAATTCTCTCTGTGCATGAACCTCGGTTCCTATCTCGTAGATTACTTCGGCCAGTTGAAAGGCAGCCGTGCTTCCTCTGTTTCCAGCGATAAGTCTTACCTTAAACCGCCTGTCGTACTTCTTCACAACTTCCGCAAAGTACACCTTCTCCCTCCGACCAATCAAGCTAATAGTTTGCGGCTTAGCATCAAGCCCGATGTAATCACCCACGAAATTCCTGTTCAGGCTCGCTCGTCTCCGTTGCTTGTGGCCGAAGAGGAGGTCGGCAACTTCCTCTTTCTGTTTCTCTTGCCGCTTCCTGGCGAAGTATTTCTTAAACGCTTTCTGTATGACTCGGGCATAGGTATTGTACTTTCGGTCCCTCGCCTCTTCCAGCATGAAGAGCTGCAGACAAATACGCATAATTAAGTTCCCCCTCAACTCCGATTTCCATGAGAAACTTCTTTGTCTGGGTGAGGGAAAGCATTCTCATGCATTCGCGTAAAGAACGCGTCTACATGGCACGGATTCCCGCACTCTCTCGAAATCGTGAAACGACTGCGCAGTGGCGTATGGCAAGGAGAATTACGTTTCTTAACCACGGGGAATGAGAAAAAAAAAAAGAAAAAAAATATGCATGATGGAGAGATTAAGTTCACTCCTGAAACTCACACTTTCCGGCGCCTTGACGAACACTTTCGACCTCCCCAATTGATATTGCGGTTTGTCGATGTGAACACTCGCCAAAATCCACTCGACTCCTTGTTTCTCGTTTCCGTTCCAGAACGGCCACGTTTCCTTCGTCAGGATAGCGTATCTGTTTAGGAATTTTGAAAACGGCCTTCTGTATGCAAAGCCTGCTCGGCGGACTCGAATATTCTCTTTCAGGCCAAGGTATTCCACCTGTAAAATTGTGCGGGGCGTATCACGATATATTGAAAATTATATTAAGGAGTAAAATTTATATATATTAAAAATGGCGTATTTTCGCGATACCTGATGCTTCACTCGAAGCTGGTCCCAATCTCGTGGCCTCTTCGTCTCGTTTGGCTTGATACATCGGATGTAATGAGGCGTGCACTTCATCAATTGACCCATCAATCGACTCGCTTGATTTCGAATCTTACTTCCGGCCGTGGTAGGTCTGGATTTCAATGTTTTGGTCTTGCTGGCTTCCGGTTCTCGAGGATACAAAGCGCGAAGCACAGGACTGATCGAGAAGGAAATGTTAGTTCGGCTTTAACGCTTTACCGCCCTCGGTAATTTTTCTTTCTCGCTTATTTAAAAAGCACCGATTACTTATTAACTTACTTCGAGCTGGTTTGCATGAGTTCGATCAGATCCAGGAATAGGACATCTCGATTTTTGTCGCAAAATCCATCCACCGAGTACGACACGACTCCGGCATAATGGAGGATTGCGAAACCATCGCTGGTATTTTGGAAATGGGCATGACTATGTGCTGCTCCAGTTAGCTTCTACGAATAAACAAGAAACAACGTGAAAAATTACAAAATGTATGGTCAGAGTTGGGTAATACTTTCGGAATGAAATTTTCCAAGCGTTATCGTTATTTCACTACCGACTGCAAAAGAAAAGACAGTATGTCCAGGATTTTATGAAACACTGGGCAACGAGTACTCTGAAATTCGGAATCCAAAATGCGAGCGAGTCGGAAAAAGTTGTTAAATTCGAACCGTGGAGGGTTCCGAACTTTAGCCTCATTTATCACCATTGTTTGGATTTTCGACAAGCTGAAAGCACTTTATTAGCCCGTTAATAATACCTTTTGTAAATCATGGTCCGCTCCCGTACTTCCTCCGTGTAAAGTTGCGCAGACATCGTCCAGGATAAGAAACAAACCGGGAGGTCTTTTGCCTTCGAGTAAGTCAACCACCACAGCATTGTTAAAATAATCTATCGGTGTCCATCTTATATCTTCGGCGACATATTCTTCCTGAAATAATCGGATGAACAATTTAACGATAAAATACGAGAAGAGCGATCGTCACGTGTCCGACGCTTTGCTTTATAAATTAATTTCGACTCTCTTTCGGTCATAATAATGAACTCGCTCTAAATCACGGTGACATTATCTTCTCGTAAGCTCTCATAATTCCCTACACGCAAACATCATGTTCAGATAGAAGACTTTCTCTCACCAGAAGTAGATAGTCCGTTATTATTAATTTCAATCCTCGGAGCTTATACGGTAGACTGGGTATCGACGAGTTCTCTATAAATGGATCCTAGTAATGGATTGCATATTGCCAGAGACGTTTCGTTGACGGTACGCATGATCGATGACAGTTTCCAATCCGTCATCGATACGTTTTAGGATCAATTGCGTATATTAACTCGAAAAAAATCCACCGGGCCGGTGACGGATTACGCACCGCGGTGCGCATAAAATTCCAAACAGAAACCGCACGAGGGAATAAAATGCAGACAGAAGTCGGCGAATAAACATTTAAACAAATTCGGGGAGGGATTTCGATCCCGTTTCGTTGAGCCAATGACCTCTGGTATCAGAGATGGATTTATTAAAATTCGTACATACACGCGTTTTCGTAATCTCTGAACAGTCGCGTCCTCGAATTTCAGCCCGCTCCGAATTGCGTTTCGGGCTGCAAACATCAAACGCAATCACCTACCGCACGAGTACCGCGGGGCAATAAATCGATCCCGATAAAAAATATAGAAATAAATAAATAAATACAATCACGGTGCACCGACCCCTGGTACTCGCCAACCGAAGCGGTACCGGACACCTGCATCGTTACTGCACCGACTCCTACATGTCGTTCCAAAGAAGGTGCACGTCTGGAGAAAGTCGTCCATAATCTCAATTTTCGCCTTTTTCTATCCTCTATCCGATAAGTGCTTCCTCCTAATTCCTGCCGCTCGTGTAAAGCAGGAAATAGCCACGGTTTGAAATATACTCTCGAATATATGACGTATGTACCTAGATAAGGAATTATTAAAAAAAAAACCACAAGTTGATAGGATGTGCCTCGTAAAAAAAAAACTCATTGAACCAATGAAATATTTTCTTAATTCCAAGAATAATTATTTCACTAGGATTGTCATAATTCCGAATAAACGTCGCAACCAATTAATTCCAGTTTATTTAAGTGAAATAATGATTATTCGGAATATCTCTTTGGAACATTGATCATTTTTTCTCAGGGTGCCCAGGTTGATTCGCATTAGTCATATCGAGGACGTTTCATTGGAGAATTTCTGCGTAACGACGAGATTTGTCTCGGTCTTGCTCTCGGAAAAAGTGCAATTGCTCGGCAGTATTTCAGGTTTAGATTCGCCAATACTTCCATGGCACGATCTCACGTATAACCTCTCGACGAGAACCCGATCGGCCGACTATGGGCCATAATCCTTGGCGTGTGTCGTGATTTATTCCGCGCTCACTCGAGGCAATAGAAGGGAAAGGCTTATTGCGATCGCGTCATTTTTCGCGTCTAGCTCGCCGTCGGTCTGCCCGGATATTTTCACCGGACTCGTTCGAGACCGGTCGGCGGGACTTTTAAATCGAAACCGCGAAACAGCGTAATCGAAGGAACTGGATTAGGCAACCGGTCGGTCATGAGTGCTCATGAAGGATTGGGAGGGGAAAACTCTATTTTGACGCGATTTCCGTAACAACTGGAGTACAAGCGAGCGAGATTGGCGGTCGACGAAGATTAAACCGAATTAGGAGGAATTAGAGGGAATTTTCGCTGAACTCGCCGACCTCCGAGTAGAACACTGCGAAATGGACCGAGTTAGGCGACGCGAGGATCGAAACGGTGAAATTCTGTTTCTATTTCATCGGATCGAGGGCGAGGCGGATAATCGGCAAGAATTCCGGAGGTAAACGTGCTCACGTGGGACGTACACATATTTTGTATCGGTACCCGAGACTTCGAAGGTACGATTTCACCGGCAAAGTTCAAGACGGTTCGGTCGGTTCGACTTCCAAGTACCAACAGCTGATTGATTCATTTCTCGGCTAAACGAGTCCGTTTACTCGGAGCTTTATTGGTGAAATCGGAGGTGAATCAAAATGATGAGACTCGGTCGGATGATTTCTTGATAATCGATGTCGATGGTCTTTAGGGCCGATCTTTAGAAGAAAGTAAATTTAATGATTTAATAATATTTGTAGGGTTTGTCGGGAGGAATAAAATAGATTTCCTACATACGTTGGGATGAGCTCGCCGAAGCGGCGAAATTGCGGTGTGAAGTCGAGCTCAAGTGGAATTTATGCAAGAGCATTGAATACGGGGTACCGATTCGATATCACTTACCCGTCGCAAATTGTTTTTCGGGGGAATTATTTCAACGTGGGAAATAATTTAACCTCCGGATACGGCTAGGTGATAAGTACTACAGTATTGCTGCAACATCATAACACCGTATATCGATCTCCTCGGTCTATTGTTTCGGTGGACACGGAACAATACATTTCCGCGGGGGTCCAGTGAAATCCCATTATTGCATCCGGTAACTCAATAGCAATTACTTGACCGGTCACTTTTTATGGACCCACGCAAGTATAAAATAAAAGCGGCTCCGGCTCCCACGGTATTAAATAAGACCATTTTACCATTGATAGGGCCATGAAATTGGTAAAGTAACGATAACGATTTAACAACCAACGGGGCCGATCAAATTCACGAATTCAAATTACGGCATACTAACCAGGGGCATTAAAAAATACAGCCTACAAAAATTCAATTACTCGGCAGGAGTAAAGAACACCCTACCCAGAAACCAAACAATTATTTCCGATTTTTGTGGGCAAGAAAATCTAGGCCTATTCCCAAATACCTTTATAACACCGCGGTTAACTAAACTCCGGTATGGTCACTAAAAGAACAACCGAAACTTTCCTCTTTACATCACGGATCTCGTGTTGTCCAAACAGGTGATTTCGTTAACAAATAATCGGAGATTTTCCCCGAGGTCGTTAGAGACCGGTCTCAGCAGCTTTTTCTGTCATCAAAACCGCGAAACGTCGCAATCGGGCCACCGATTAGGTAATTAGTGATCGTGGTCATGCATCGAAAACTAAACAAAGAAACTCCGAGAAGCCTTGAGCAACAAATAGAGGGCTATCTCGAGAAGCGATAGGTATCGCCGATTGCTTCATTGGCCATGGCACTGGTGTCCGGAAACAAAGTCTCGTAGAACCGCAAAGAGGAAGGTCCGATTAAAACGATGGAAAGGAATTAGCAGGCGCTAATAGACGCAAAGAACATCGTGACGTAACTTCTCTGTCAGGCCGATGATAAATAGAGGCTGTTCGCAACACGAAACGACCATCTTCCTCTCGATTGTAGGAGAGTGGGTGTCGTAGAGCCATTAGTCTCCCGTTGCGATTCTCTACAGGCGATATCGGTCTTATCCGGAAAATGAACATCGACGCATTGCGTCCAATTTAGATTATGGCCGAAAAAAAAAAATATCCGCCACGATGCGGTAAAGTGACGAAAGCCTCGTAACGTCGAATTACACCCTATGGTTTAAAGAAATCCGGAATTATTGCGTTTATTAAAATTAATTACCGTGTTCCCGCGTCGAGGTTTCTTGTCTCGCAAGAAATGACCGTGATGATAATTTCAAGTTAACGGACATCGAGTTTCCTCCAATTCCTCGGGAGATAAGTGCGAGGAAGGATGTATTTTACTCCGTAAATGCAGGGTGTAAACTTGTCTTTACCTCTACATTTCCAGACGGATGTAGGGCGCGGAAAGAAATATGGAGGTTGGATCGTTTTTCCATTGAGTGTCGATCCTTCCGAGCCATTGATTACGACAAGGAGACAATTTTTAATACGTTCACCAGAAGCTGTCCCGAGAGAATCGGCTTTCTCCACGTACGGATGCAGGGCTTATACTTTGACAAGAGACCGGGAGAAGTAAAGGCAGAAAAACCAATCGGTAAATTACTGCTCCACGGGACAAAGAAGAACTCGTTTCCTCCTGACCGATCTCGCGGCAATTTCTTGGGTTCCTTCCCGTGGCTCATAAATACGACGTAGTCAAATAGACCGATTCCGCTGCAATTAAAAAGAAGCAAAGTCATACGGAAAGAAAAAACCCGGCAAGAAGGGAACTCCCGTCTCTCCCATACCGAAGGTTTTAAGGTGATATGAAAGTGCCATATATCCATACCAAAAAGTCAGAACATTGATAAAACTTTTCTCCAAACTGGGTGGAAGCGCGCGATGCTGGTGAAATTTTATTTTTTCCAATAAAAATTTCTATTTATCTAGGACAAGATCGAAAAGGGCATTATTTTCGAAAAATGAAATTTCACGAGCATCGCGTTCTTCCTTAGGGCCTCCATAATCGCGTGTTTCGGATAAGTTCCAGTATGGAGAAAAGTTTTTAAAAATATTTTCAGGCTTTGACGTATTTAGAATGATCTTTTCGTATCACCTTAATATCCCGAAAATAGGTCGCAATTCGATACGTTTCATCGCGGGTGTACGAGGGCGCGAATCTTATGAAAGCCCAACGAAGCTCGTCGCGTCCTCGTCGAGCACATTCGCCCTGGCGGAAAAGATGGCCGACGAGGAGCGCGCCGGGTCGTTCCGGGACTTCCTTCCTTCCGTCGTCGCGGTTCCGCTCCGAATCGGTCTCCCCGAGGCGCGACGAGGACATCTCGTTGGGTTTGGTTCGAAAAGAGGAGGCCGAGTCGCACGGCCGCCGGCTAGGCCTTTCTGCGCGGTCTAGTTGCGCCTATTCGTCCACGCCGGGAAGTGGCACGATTTTTCTATGCCGAGCCGGGGCCAACCCAACCTTACTTTTTGCCCGGCCGACCCGTTTACCGATCGGTCTATCGACACGACAAGAGGGGAGCGAAAGACCGGCCTTTTCCCATTTTTCGTTCTCCCCTGGGCGTCCGTCTTCTTGCGCGACGCAAAAGGCGAGCGCCATTGCGGGGCGCCGA